GCTTCTTGGGCTGACGACCAGGCTACGCAGCGGTCGTCACAGGGTTACACCTTCACCCTTGGTTCCGGCTCTGTCTCGTGGCGGTCTACTCGCTCGTCTTTGGTTCTCGGCTCCAGTTGTGAGGCTGAGATCTACGCCGGGGCCATGGCTGCACAGGAGCTTCGCTGGCTCACCTACCTGCTCACTGACCTTGGAGAGCCGCCTCGTTCTCCTCCAGTGCTGTACGTAGACAACAAGGCCATGCTGGCCTTGTGTCGAGAGCAGCGTCTGGAGCACAGAACGAAGCACATTGCTCTCCGCTACATCCTTGCTCGTGAGCTGCAGCAGCGTGGTCAGTTGCGACTTGCGTACGTGGCCTCTGAGGCCAACACTGCTGATGTGTTCACCAAGGCACTCGCGCCTTGTGACCATTAGCGCTTTTGCACCCAGCTGGGTCTTGTGCCTGTCTTGCCTCACTTGCTCTCCTCTTGACTTCACTTGTACTGTGACATATATATATATACATGCTCTTGCTTGGCTAGTTTTATATATATGTCTGTACTCCTGCATGTGAACTGGCCTCTAGCCCTACTCTTGTGCTCGGACTGTGTGGTGACTTTGTGATCCACCCTGAGCTTGCTTTGCTTTGCTTTGCTTGACTGGTCTTGTGACCCCTTGTTCTCCCCCACTTTGCCTATGGGGGTGTGTCAGATTATCATAGCTGATGCATGTTTGTAGGCTATAGTGGGGTAGCACATATGGGGTACAGCTTTCTAGGGTTGTATTTGTACCCAACTCTGACTTAGTCATTTCATTCCTGTTCGCTTATTCTCACAACGGGCTGTCGCTGCTGGAGCTGACGTGTACGCAGTGGATATTGCACTCGTAGACAAAGATGAGCAGCCGAGTGATTTGGAGAAACTGCTGGCAACTGTACCGACCGAACTACAGGCACTACTGAAACAGTTCCCGGGGATATTTCCGGATGATTTACCACAGGGACTGCCACCTCAGCGGGCGCACGACCATAGGATCGAGTTAGAACCGGGGGCACAGCCAACTGTACAGCGGCAATTTCGACTGACACAGCCCGAGCTCGACGAGTTAAGGAAGCAGTTAGATTACCTGTTAGAGAAGCAGTTTATCCGTCCGAGTTCGTCACCGTTCGCCGCACCGATACTGTTCACACCGAAAAAAGACGGAGGGTTCCGCATGTGCATCGACTACCGAGCGCTTAACAGGGTAACAGTCAAATCGCGATACCCCATCCCCCGCGCCGACGAACCGATCGACCAACTGCGAACAGCACGAGTCTTTTCGAAAATAGATTTACGGGGAGGTTACCCTCAGATTCGGGTCGAACCATCGGACTGCGCCAAAACAGCATTTAGGACTAGGTACGGGTCATTCGAGTATACAGTAATGCCATTCGGGCTGACGAACGCGCCCGCGACATTTTAGATGACCATGAACGAGGCGTTTAGACCACTTTTAGATAAATGCGTGATAGTTTACCTGGACGATATTCTAGTTTACAGCCGGGATAAGCAGCAGCACTTAGTGGATCTTGAAGCAGTTTTTAAAATTTTGGAGGAACATCGACTACTCACCAAGGGTTCCAAGTGCGAGTTTTTTCGGGACAGGCTAGAGTTTTTGGGTCACGTCATTTCGGAGGCTGGGGTTGAGATTGACCCAAAGAAGCTGGATACGGTAAAAGCGTGGCGCCCCCCGACGAACATCACGGAACTGCAAAGTTTTTTAGGTTTTGTTAATTACGTTCGACGGTTCGTGCCCGACATGGCACGTTTAACAGCCCCACTCACTGATTTACTGCGTAAGGGGGTCGCTTTTACGTGGGGGGAGAAAGAGCATGCTGCCTTCTCTGCCCTGAAAAACGTTCTCTGTTCACCACCCGTTCTACGCATCGCTGATCCCCACCGCCCTTTCGAAGTGGTTACCGACGCAAGTGACATCGCCATCGGAGCTGTACTGTTAGAGGACTTCGGCGACGGCCTCCAACCCATCGCCTACGAATCACGCAAACTACATCCGCCTGAGCGAAATTACCCGATACACGACCGCGAAATGCTTGCGATCGTGCACGCGTTCAAAGTATGGCGCTGCTACTTGACCGGCGCAGACGTGACAGTATGGACAGACCATCGATCTCTACAGTATCTCCGCGCACAGCCCCACCTCAACCCACGACAGATTCGATGGCTCGATTTCCTCGAGTCGAATTTTCACTATACAGTCACATACAAAAAAGGAGCCTCGAATATCGCCGACGCACTGACCCGCCCCACTGCCCAGATCCACGCGATACTACTCGCCCAGACCAGCCCGCTACTGACAGGCCTATTTACCCACGGATATCAAACAGACCCGTTCTTTACAGGAGGCAACTCACAGCAATTCGCAGCGGCAAAAGGAGTCTATTACGTAAAAGCTGGAACCGACCGCATCTGGGTACCAGGATACACGCTACTGCGGGAACTACTGTTACAGGAAGCACACGACGGAGTTACCTCGGGACATTTCGGGGTAGAAAAAACACGGCAGCAGCTGCAGCGGTACTACTACTGGCCAGAAATGTTGACCGATGTGCAACGACACGTGGCATCGTGCCCCACTTGCCAGCTCATGAAGTCAAGCAGGAAGCGGCCGGCGGGACAATTACAACCCATCCCGCCCCCAGAGCGTGCTTGGCAGCAGGTGACGATGGATTTCGTCACGGGGTTACCAGCTGGGGCGAGTGGGAATGACGCGATCCTGGTCGTCGTCGATCGACTAACGAAGATGGCTCATTTCGCAGCATGCAGAAAATCAATCACAGCCGAGGAAACCGCCCGACTCTTCATCACCACCGTCGTTCGACTGCACGGGATACCCGCATTGATCATCAGCGACAGGGACACGAAATTTACAAGCAACTTCTGGCGGAACCTGTGGCAGCAGTTTGGCACGCGCTTACAGTTCAGTTCATCCTATCACCCCGAAACCGACGGACAGACGGAACGGACAAATCAGACCATGGAGCAGCTGATTCGAGCCACGTGCGACGATCCGAATACGTGGGAACAGCAGCTGCCACTCATCGAGTTCGCATACAATAACGCACCATCAGCCACGACGCAACAGTCGCCGTTTTACTTGAATTACGGATAGGACCCAACAGTACCCATGACACCGAATCTCGACAACCCCGTCCCACGAGCACAACAGTTCGCCGAGATTCTGCAAGCAGCACGGACCAGGGCAGCAGAAGCAATAAAAAAATCAAACATCATCGCTAAACGCAACGCCGATCGCCATCGTAGACCCATTATTTTTCAGCCCGACGACCTCGTTTTACTCGACACTCAGAACCTCCGCCTGCCCATCACTCCAAAACTCCGCCCTCGATACTGTGGGCCATTTCGAATCAGTCACATGGTTACGCCAGTCACCGCGCACCTCCTCCTCCCTGCTGACTGGTACGTCAGCCCCTCGTTCCACGTTAGCTTACTTCGCCCTTACGTGCCATCCACCAGCCAACTCCCACGACATCGACCCACCAGCATGACACGACCACCAACCGAACCAGTCATCACCCCCGACAAGATCCTGAGCCAAAGAGTTCGCGACCCTCGAGGAGCCCGCAAAGTAGAGTTTCTGATCCGCTGGAAAGATCGTACCCCCACCGAGGACAATTGGGTTCCCCTGGAGAAAGTTGAAAATCACCCCGTCGTCACCGACTACCTACGTAGCCGCAATTTCCGAGACATCCACGCGCTTTCATAAGGAGGACCTCCTTAGGAGGGGGGGGTAGTGTAAGGAAATTCCCTTTTCCTTACTTCGCGTCCCTGCTCAACGCGTACATCACTGTAGCTCCTCAGTCAGCACCGTTACCACTCGCGACCATCGCGTCATTCATCATCCCGCCCTTTTCGCACATCGCATCCCGACCTCACGGCTCGGCTGGTAACCCGCGCTCCGGGCCTACGCTTCGACACTTTCCAAACCTCAGTCCCAGGCTCGTCGCGCGACCATTACCGTTACCACTATAGTTTCGCTATATAATGTTCGCTCATGCCTTCGCTCAATTGTATTCTTGCTTCGATAGTGCAATTCTCGTTTGTTCACTCAATTGCACTCGTAACACACATACACAACAATGGTTTTGTAACATGTAACGTATAATACAGAGTAGTGTTCGTTCAACAACTCGATGTTAATTTTGTCAATCAAACAACTCCCATCCATGCAGGGTTTTCATGCCTGGCCTTTCCATCAGTGATGTTTATTTTTAAGTTTCCATGCCATTCCACATCTGTTGGTCTTCACGGGTCAAGTATCCACGGGTGACCTAGAGCAAGTGGATGGTAGGGGGGCAGGGCAGAGGAGGGGGCGAGGCAGAGAGTGTTGTTAGCTTTTCCAATCAGGAAGCCATAGCCTGTTATACAATGCCATTCCACACCACATCTGTTGGTCTTCACGGGTCAAGTATACAAGGGTGACCTAGAGCAATGGACTTAGGGGGGCAGAGCAGAGGAGGGGGAGTGGCAAAAGAGTGTCAACTTTGGTGATCAGGAATATGGAACAGCAAGTGCCTTCTTTTGAGGCGCCTATAAAGCTGATGAGGAAAAAACGGAACAGCAAGTGCCGTCATGCCATGCCATTCCTCCACACGCCCAGCACCCCTTCCTCCTCCTTCCCCCCCGCTCACAGAGAACCTCCTCTGTTGTGATCCGCTCATCGGGGTCAGCGGTCAGCATCCTAGACGCCAAATTCTTAGCAGCTAGTTAGCTAGCAACATCCATCCCATACCCCCATCACAACTCCCCCTCGTCCCCCCACTTCCAACCTCCCCCCCCCCCAACTCACTGAGAATCTCCTCTGCTGTGATTCGCTCATCCAGATCCACTGTCAGCATCCGAGACACCAAGTCCTTGGCAGATAGCACTTGGCAGCAGCGACCAAAAACTACCCCCCTAACTTTCCGCCTAGCCCAACCCCTCCATCCCCCAACCCCCACTCACTGAGAATCTCCTCTGCTGTTATTCTCTCATCCGGATCAACGGTCAGCATCCTCGACACCAAGTCCTTGGCAGATAGCGACACGATCGGCCACGGCGCTGCCCGGAAATCTACTCTGCCGTCCAGAATCGCTTCAAAAACGGCCTCTTTGGTGGGAGCGCGGAAGGGGAGGAATCCCGAGAGCAGCAGGTGCAGCAAGACTCCGAGACTCCAAATGTCAGTCGGAGAAGAGTAGGTTTGAGCGAGCATTTCAGGGGAGAGGAAAGAGGCCGTTCCCACTATCTCACTGCATGTTGTTCCTGAAGTTTGGGGTTCAAAGCGGTGCAAAGCGGTGCAACACGAAGGGGTGAAAAGGGGTGCAAAAGGGAGGAATTGCCTCGAAGTCGGCCTCTTTGGTGGGCGCGCAGAAGGGGAGGAATCCCGAGAGCAGCAGGTGCAGCAGCACGCCCAGGCTCCAGATATCGGTGGGGCAGGAGTAGGTCTGGGCGAGCATTTCCGGAGAGAGGAACGAGGCCGTTCCTACGATCTCAGAGCAGCTCGTGCCTGGAATAAGGAATTCAAAGGGGTGAAAAGGGGTGCAACGGGGTGGAAAGGGGGGCATCCTGAGAGCAGCAGAGCAGGAGGTGCAGCAGCACGCCCAGGCTCCAGACATCGGTGGGGCAGGAGTAGGTTTGGGCGAGCATTTCCGGAGAGAGGAAAGAGGCCGTTCCCACTATCTCAGAGCAGCTCGTGCCTGGAGGCTGGAGAGCGGTGCAAAGGGGTGCAAAGGGGTGTAAAGGGGTGTAAAGGGAGGAATCCCGAGAGCAGCAGGTGCAGCAGCACGCCCAGGGTCCAGATATCGGTGGGGCAGGAGTAGGTCTGGGCGAGCATTTCAGGGGAGAGGAAAGAGACCGTTCCCACAATCTCACTGCATGTTGTTCCTGTGTTGGGTTGATAATGGGTGCAGAGGGGTGCAAAGGAGTGCAGTGGGGCGATTTGCGGCAGGGAGAGAGAGGAAAGAAGGAAGGAGGCCGTTCCCAGAATCTCAGTGCAGCTCGTGCCTGTAGTCAGAGGTGCATAGCGGTGCAAAGGGATGCACAGGGAGGTAGCCTGAGAGCGGGAGGTGCAGCACGATCATCTCTTTTACCAGGAGGTAACAAGGTTGACTCTCTCAATAAACAACCCAACCCACCTGGTATGTTGACGTGACTTTTGAGAATTCTTAAAAGTCATGTCAACATGGGAGGTGCAACACGATCATCTCTTTTACCAGGGAGGTAACAAGGTTGACTCTCTCAATCAACAACCAAAGCCACCTGGTAGAAAGAAGGTTGAGATGCCAATTTTACAGATCTTCACGTCCCCCCACACACCCCAGGTCTACCTCCCCTTAATACACCTTCTATCTAACCAGAGGCAACACGGTTGGCTCTAAACATCCCAGCGCACCTGGCTGGAAGAAGGTGGAGATGCCAAAATCGCAGATCTTCACGTCCCCAGGCACGCCAAATTTCTACCACCCCAGGTGTACCTCCCCTGAATAGGCCTTCCTTCCTCTCCAGAACCCAACGCACCTGGCTGGAAGAAGGTGGAGATGCCAAAATCACAGATCTTCACGTCCCCAGGTAAGCCTCCCCCAGAAACGTCCAAACGCTCCCCGAGCAGGATATTATCGGGCTTCACGTCGCGGTGAATGATTCCGTTGGAGTGGCACTGCAGCAGCGCCTCTGCTGCTGCCGCCACCACCGCTGCTGCCTGCGGCTCGTTGAACGGCCCTTGCTCCCTGACTGCTTGCTGCAGTGTGCCCCCCTGACACAGCTCCATCACCAGATAGACCGTCTGAATTGTTGGGGGGAGGGGATGGGAGGACCTAATTCAGGGTTGAATTGGTGACTGAGCAGGATGTTATCGGGTTTCACGTCGTGGTGAATGGTGCCGTTGGAGTGGCACTGCAGCAGCGCCGCTGCCGCTGCTGCCCCAAAATACGAGCAAACGCGCAACTATCGGGCTACTTTTTGAGAATTCTAAAAAATACGAGCAAACGCGCAACTATCGGGCTTCTTTTTTAGAATTCTCAAAAATACGAGCAAACGCACAACTATCGGGCTTCACATGGAGCTTCACGTCGCGGTGTATGACGCCATTGGACTGGCATGGCACTGCAGCAGCGCCTCTGTTGCCGGCTCCTCCACTGTCACTATCAGCTGCACGATGCTGCAGGTAGCCCCTCTAGAACCCACCGCTCCCAGCACACAGCATTGTCATACTCGTTACAAGCAGACCCACGCACCTCTGGACCTCTGGCTCCTCCACTGTCACTATCAGCTGCACGATGTGCCGGTAGCCCCTCAGCGCTTTCACCCAGTCTACACACAGCAGTATTATACTCGTTACAAGCAACCTCACTTACCTCTGGCTCCTCCACTGTCACTATCAGCTGCACGATGTGCCGGTGCCCTCTCAATGCCTCCAGCGCCCAACCTTCCTCCCAGCACACAGTCACACACTCGTTATAAGCACACAGCATTGTCATACTCGTTACAAGCAGACTCACTAACCTCTGGCTCCTCTCCTCCGCCGTCTCTATGAGCTGGACGATGTGCCAGTGGCCCCTCAGCGCCTCCAAAGCCCAAACTTCCCAAGCACACACTAATGTACTCGTTACAAGCAACCTCACTTACCTCTGGCTCCTCCACCGTCTCTATGAGCTGCACAATGTGCCGGTGCCCTCTCAGCGCCTCCAGGGCCCAGTTTTCCACGCACACTCCTTGTCATACTCGTTATAAGCAGACCCACCCACCCACCCACCTCTGGCTCCTCCATCGTCTCTATGAGCTGAACGATGTGCCGGTGCCCTCTCAGTGCCTCCAGCGCTGCCACCTCGTTCTGCACGTCCTCTGCGTCCTCTGGAGTCTGGGCATGGGGGTGATGCAGATGGAGGAAAGGCACGCAAGGGGCCAAGTATGACTGTGCAACAAACCAAACCACCCTCTCAGTGCCTCCAGCGCTGCCACCTCGCTCTGCACGTCCTCTGCATCCTCTGGAGTCTGGTGTGTGGATGTTGATGGGGAAAGGCACGCAAGGGGCAGCGCATGCTTTTGAGACGTCTCAAAAGGCAAGGGGCAGCGCATGCTGGTACAACGAACCAGATTAGCCAATCAGAGTGCCCTCTCAGTGCCTCCAGCTGCCACCTCGTTCTGCTCTGCGCCTCCTGTGCGCCCTCGGGGGAATTTTGAGGCGCCTCAAAATACACCTCGTTCTGCTCTGCGCCTCCTGTGCGCCCTCAGGGGTCTGGCGCGGGGGTGTTAGAGGGGGAAAGAAAGGCGGGCAAGGGGCAGTGCATGATGGTACAACAAACCAGACCAGCCAGGGAAAGTGGCTCTATCAGCGCCTCCAGAGCCAGCATCTCGCTCTGCACGTCCTCTGCATCCTCAGGGGTCTGGCAGGGAGGAGTTAGAGGGGAGGAGGGGGAAGGGGAAAAGCGGGCAAGGGGCAATACATGATGATGGTACAACAAACCAGACCAGCCAGGGAAAGTGGCTCTCTCAGCGCCTCCAGCTGCCACCTCGTTCTGCACGTCCTCTGCATCAGGGGAGGGGGAGGGTGAGGAAGGGTCTGGTTGGAGAGCACACAAGGGAAACAAGGGGCAGTGCAGTGCTTTCTTATTCAACACACAGACACACAAACGGTGCAGCTGCCACCTTGTTCTGCACGTCCTCTGCATCCTCCGCACCACACCGCACCCCACCGCACCCCACCGTCCATTACATAGCTTCACATTCCTTTGCCAATCACTTTGCACACGAATTGCTCCCCGCTCTCTCTTTCCACGCACACCACCGCATCCCCCAACGCCATAGCACAGCACTGCACCACACCGCACCCCACTGCACCGCAGCCAATCCTCCAGTGCTCACCTTCACATTCGCCTTGTTGATGACTTTACACGCGAAATGCTCCCCACTGTCCCTCTCCACACACACCACCACGTCTCCGAAATACCCCTTCCCCAGCACCTCCCCTGTCAGCTCAAACCGGGCGGCAAGGCTCTCCAGCGGCCGGCCAATGATATTGCGCCACCTGGACCGCCCAGCTGGCGACGTGCCGGGCGGCGGCGTCACCACCATTGCCGCCCCTGCCGCATCCCCGCCTCTTCCCCCAGGTGACACGTGTCCTCTTGTCATTGGTAGGCTCTGGGAGTTAGATCGGGTGTGGCCAATCGGAGTGCGCCCAGTGGCAGATGAAGAGGATCTACCTGGCATAGCCCCTCCTCCTCCAGAACCGGCACAATTACCACCTGCACCACTCACAACTCCTCCTAACCCAGGAGAGCCAGCCGCAGCAGGGCCACCACTGCTGTAGGAGGCGGTTCTTGTGTGGCCTGGGGCAGAGGGATGGGTATGCTGCCTGCTATGCTGCGGATGCTGCTGTTGCTGCTGATGCTGTTGCTGATGGTGCTGATTGTGGTGCTGCGTGTGTGGGGAATAGATTTTGCCCTGTTGCTGCTGTGGCAGCATTTTCTGCTGCTGATGGTGCTGCTGCTGCTCCTGATGGTGTTGGTGGTGGTGCTGCTGCTGCTGATGGTAGTCGTTTGAAGGTGAGAGCTGGGAGGGATGTTTGGGGGAGGAGCACACACGCTGCGGGTGCTGCGAGGGGGATCTCAGATTCTGGCCTTGAGTCGAAGGTGACCAAGCCATTCCCAGCTGCTGCTGCCTCTGTTGGGAGGGCGAGGGTGTGGACTGGTGGAAGGATTGGTGAGACGACTGCTGTGGGGAGGACACTCCAGGAGAGCTCTGATGGGGATAACCTGTAGGTGGTTGTTGAGGGGAGTAGCTAGCAGACCGGTGGTGGGGAGAGGAGGAGTATTGAGAAGGATGGGCTGCGGAAGTGTGTCTTGATGGGGTGGTGTTGTGGCTACTATGGTGGTAACCACCTATATCATCATCATAATTATCCTCAGCAGCAGCATAAGCATCTTGGTGGTAACCGTCCCGCTGGTGACTGTCTTCTTGGTAACCGTCCTGCGGGTAACCATCGTGGTGGTTACCTTCTTGGTGGTAACCATCCTGAGCACCTATATAAGCATCCTCGTTACTCTGTCTACTGTGAATTGCATGATTGGCATGCCCATGCCCATCCTCACCATAAACATCCCCATCATATGCCCCATCAACACCCCCATGCTCCCCAGGATAACCACCACCACCATAAGCACCACCATCACCATAATTCTCTTCGTTATAATGCCCCTGGTGGCCGGCTGCCACGTCATCAGGATGCGCATGAGGATCTTGTGCCAGCTCAGCAGTGACGTCATTGTGGTAACCAGAATCTTCGCCACGTCCGTAACCATAACCTCCCCTCCCCGGTGGGTCAACCTCGTATGCGCCCTGCCCTTCATCCTCCTCTTCTGCTTCGTCCTCCTGCTCCTCCTCCCTCACTCCCTCCATACCCATCTCCTCTCCACCTCTCCCCATCTCCCTCACTCCATCCTCTACATACTTATGCTCCTCCTCCCCATACCCATCATCATATCCACCACCCCCATGCCTATCACGGCCCAATTCCCGCTCTTTATAATCACCCTCCACATTGCCTCTCTCAACATAGTCACTCTCCCTCTCTCCACTCCCCTCGCTATTGTACCCTTCCCCACCCCCACCAGCCCTCCCCTCTCCTCTGCCCTCCTCCCTTTCCCCTCCTCGCCCTTTCTCCCTCCACTCCTCCCTCCTCTCCCTTCCACTCCCTCCCCCCGAACCCCTAACCCCGTCCCCTCTCCCCCCAAAACCCCTTCCCTCATCCTCTCTCCCCCCATCCCCTCTTCCCCCATCCCCTCTTCCCCCATCCCCTCTTCTCACAACCCCACTTCCTCCATTTCCCCTACCTCCATCCCCTCTTCCCCCGTTCCCTCTCTCCCAATCATCTCGCAACCGCCATTCCTCCTCCCCATCCGCCTTTTCGTATCTGCCCTCCCCCCTGTCCCACTCCTTCTCCCCTTCCCTCTCCCTCTCCCTCTCCCCAACTCTTCCCCCATCTCTCTCCCTATCCCGCCCAGCCCCCCTCGGGTCGTACCCATCGTCATCATCCCCCCTCCTCCTCCTACCATCATAATCATCATCCCTCCTCCTATCGTCATACTCATCACCTCTCCTCCTTCTGCCCCCATCATCACCACCATCCTTCCCCCTCCCACCAGCATCATACTCATCATCTCTCCTCCTCCTGCCTGCATCATCATCATCACCCCTCCTCCTCCTGTCCCCATCATACTCATCATCTCTCCTCCTCCTGTCCCCATCGTAGTCCTCATAAGAAGACTCAGATCTCGAATCATCATCATACCCTCCTCTACCCCTCTCAACCTCATCATACCCATTCCTTCTCAGCCTGCTGCTTCCCCCCTTTCCACCTCCTCTCCCCCCTCCCCTCCCCCTTCTATCGGGGGATGGGCTACGGCTATGGTCATCATACCCCTGACTCCCCCGCCCGTCTTCGTCTCTATAATGCTGACGCGGCGCTGACGTGGCGGCCCCCCCGAGCGGTCGCGCGGGGGAGCGGCTAGGGCTGTTGTCCCCCGACTGCCCCAGCCCGCGGGAGGGAAGGATTCGCTGCCGCGGATCCTCCCCCCTCCGCGCGCCCACACCTCCACCAGGCGGCGCAAAGCTGCCCCTAGCGGGCATAGGCGCGGAATTAAGCGCGCGCCTATCTTCCGAAAACGCCCTGCGCAAGTGCAGGTCCCCCCGCGGGCCAGCAGCCATTCCGCCCATGCTCCCCCGCCCGCCTCCTCCCCCGCCTCCGCTGCTGCCCTCCCCCGCGTACCCATACGCGCCCGCGTGCCCGGGGCTGTAATTTCCCCCCACCCCCCCGACCGGCCCCATCCCCCCCCCACCCAGGTTAACCCGGTCGTTCTTTTTCATCGCGCTTAGTGACCGCGTCAACCGGCGGTCCGGCGGCCGGCTAAGCAGCATCTTTACCTTTTCCGCCGCTTGCTCCGTCCGCGATAGAACCTTCGCCAGGTCTTTATTCCCACCCGGTCCACCTGGCTTTCCTGGCCTCCTCCCTACAGAGTCGTAGGGAGAACCTGTTCCTAATGCCCCTCCTGCTCCCCCTGCTCCTCCTGCTCCTGACGGTCTGTACATCACTCCAGGGCCCTCCATCGAACGCGATCTAAGAACGCTTCCTGATTGACCCATTTCGCGGCACGATTGCGACCGCTTAAACGCGCTGTCCCCTCTGCCGACCCACTCCGGCACGTGCTGCGACGAAAACACCCGCGTCGCGCATTTCCGCAAATCCTGCGGCGCGGGTGGCTTCCCATGCAGAGGCGGACCGTGCGCGTCCCCCCGCCTCGGCGGAAGCCCTTTTTTCCCCATATGCGGAATTTCAAGTCCGCCGACTTCCTCGAAAGGGGAGGCGGCGGGCGGGGGAGCGTTAATTGGCGAACCTTCCGACTCCGATTTCGTAAACCACGCCATGACCTTTGTCTTGGACTTAACCATTTCCTGCTCCATCTCAGCCAACTCCTCCGCCGTTAACGTCACGTCACCGGCAGATTTCTGACTGACGGACCGGTTTAAGCGGCCGTGCGGGGGCGCGGGTTGCTGGCGCGTGGCGGGAGCGGCGGGATTGAAGGTTTTGAAGTCCATTGATTGGGAGGATACTCCGATGGATCTGGAACGGCGGAGATCGGTGCCGCTGCCGACACTCTGCCTGCGCGGGTCCATCCGCTTCGACATCGTCGTTGGTTTCGAAATGCGGACGGAATTAGCTAGTGAACGTCAAGCCGCGTAGGGGGTGAATGAAACCCTAGGTTACTAAGGAAACGAAGAGACTAATAGATAATTGGTGTGCTCGCATATCCAAAAATGCAAGTGACAGGGAAGAACGGTATAGGCGTAGGTGTCATCAGCTGCCACTAGCGAAGCTGTCTTGACTGAAACGTGTAACTCCGTAGTTCCGAAAACGCATAAAGCGGGACAGCTGCAACGCGTGTGCCGAGCTACAAACTTGCCGGGAATATCCAAACACATTCTAAACTTCGTCGAAAATCTCCATTTGCTTCCTAACATGCCGTCAAAGTGAGGGCTTACAAAAAAGTCACGCGAGACTTACACAGAAGCCATACGATACGACCTAGTACATTGTGGTAGGAGTAGATCCCATCCCATGTTGTTCCTAAACTCCACGGCTTTATCTCCAACCTAGGGACTAGGTCACATGGCGCATAGAAGGTGGGGTGGGGTGGGGAGCAGCGGAAGGCAACCCCAAGTGTCTCCAAACCAAACGCAGGGAGTCCAAAGGATGATATCAAGGGAGGTTCCGAGCCAAAATCCCTGCCACGGAGCCGGCTCGGGGAAGCAGGTGTATTCTCAGGCCGAGGGGGAAAAGCCGCCACATGAAAACATCCTCTGCTCACGTTACTCGGGCAGTGTTGCGAAAAAACATTATCTCGCGAAAGAACTCGGTTGCGTAATTCGTCAACAAGATCTGACGGAAGACGAGGAATTATGCAAAAATATGCACGTTTTCTCCTGTAATGGTGCCATCGTGCTCGGAAAGCGGTGGCTGGGGGCAGGTGTGGTATGCTGGTTTGGTCTCAGAGAACATAGGCTTGGCTTCAGGCTACCCAGGTCAGGACTCCTTGGCGAAAGGCTTCGCACGAACCGCCTTCAGATTCCTAGGGAAACGGCCAAAGGCTCCAACATGTCTCTTGTCCGATTGCCGTAGTTGATAAAGGACGGGGTATCCTCTATTTGAGCCTTATCGAGGTCTTTCTAATTACAGATTGAAAATGTTTTGACCTCATATGCTCACTATGTTCCTTCTGATGACAAGTGCCTTCTTCACCATAGCAGCCTTATCGTAAGATCCATACTGTTATTTTTCCCGGAAAACCAGAGGCATCTGTGGATCGCATTTCGGCATCTTATTTGAATCTCTGGCTGGCTGATGTATGTCCCGAGTGTAGCAACGTGTTAAGAAGGAAAAAAAGGGGTTGCATTCCTGTAAGGAACAAGTCACAGTCACAATCGAGCATTAATGTGAACGGTCGAGTATGAGCATGTTTAGGCCGGGTCCTGTTCGGCGAGTATGAGTTATGAGTTTGGTTTGTCACTGGTCGACACCAAAATTTGGGACAAGCCGTTTTTGGGACAAGCGAAAACAGACAGATGACCCAAAAACAAAATAACCCGCACCATAACCAACTACGCTTCCGTAGTTATCATTCGTTCCTTCGCCAGTCACCACCTGTGTTTCCAGAGCCGCTGTAGAGATTTGCGAAATCGCGAATCGTCAACCTGTGGTGTCTGTCTTTCGTCGACGCTGGTCGATAATTTCTTCTAACCTTGTTTAATATTTCTGCAGACTCCATGCTACAGTATCAGCGTTGCAAGACAAGCGGGAACGATAAGAGAGTCGTCGTGTCAGCCGGAGGTGCTCGGAGAATCTTGGGACGGGACACGCTGCCAACTCCTGGACGCCTGACAGTACCAGCCCCTTACCCTTAGCACCGAACTGAACCGTTCATTTCTCTGGCGCTTTTTGAGCTTCCTGCCAACAAGGCGTACTCCCAAGGTGTCTCTGCCACTCTGTCTTCATTACTAGGACAGACTAAGTCCAGCTGGAACTTCCTGACTCGTTTTCCCTGATTCTAGGTCTGTCGACTTGTGTGATCGCAGGTAAGACAGACCTAGAACAGTCTATGGAGATCGGGTCTTTCCTAGCTGGAACCCCTGACTGGGTTTCCCTTTACGGACAACACCTAGGGTCTTTTCTGGTATAGAACCAGCATTGCACAAATTCTGAACGCGTCCTGGTTGAGCAGCTTTCCCATCGCTGGCTGGCAGTCCAGAGCTACCATGGCGTCTAGGCCAGCTAACGGTACAGCAGGCCAGGCGAGCACGGAAGTCGATTGGGCGACGATTGCACGACCCGATCCTCCGTTCGTTGGGGGGATTAAGGAGCATCACGCTGCCGCGTTAACCCGCTGCGACGCCGACGAAAACGACGGAAGCCACGAGGACGACTTTAGCGACGACTTTGGCGACGACTTTAGCGACGACTTCGGCGACGGCGACGACGATGGCGAAAGCGATGCCGAAAACGACGGTGAGTCGGACGACTCGTACGATATCGAAGAGTACCACCTCAGGGAGCGGTTTGGAAGGCCGTATGACTCAACGGTAGACGTGTTTCGTGACAGAGAAACTGATCGAAACAGGGAAAGGGATCGAAACAGGGAAACGGATGCAGAGGCCGAAACGGGTCTTGTGGAGGAACCGGGTCGCGTGGTGCAACCGGGTGGTCTCGAGGTCCCTTGGTACGAACTTCAAGAAGGCGAGAAGGAACGAGAGGAATTGGCGGAGCTCGCGGCGCGGAAGATGAGTCAGTGGAGCGATGCGGAGCTGATGGAGCTCGCAGCGGCTGTCGTTTTCTGCCGGCACAGCGGGAAAGTCACGATACGGAGCGGCGGCAGGGGGGACGTGTACTGGCGGCAGGTGTGGCGCGCGATCCGGCTCACGAACCCCGAATGGCGGCGCATCCCGACAGCGATGGCGAAGCAGTGGACGCGTATGAAAGCGCGATACGACGCGGAGACGCACGACCCGCGGCGGAAGCGGCGGCGGCGGAAGCGGGGGGAGACGGGGCGGTGCCCCGCGGAGGGGATGCCGTCGGGGGAAGCGGAGCAGCCGGCAGGGGGGGGCTCAGTTGAGCAGCGGCAGGGAGGGTCTACTAACGCGGATGAGCAACCCAATAACGAGTCAGGGGGGAACACAGGGGCGAAGGCAAAGGTGAGGGGAAGGCCCAGGGGGGGATGGTGGAGTGGGAAAAAATCAGCATGGGGACCGGGGCCAGAACCAGCATGGTTTGAGTACGTTCGACTGTTCTATGAAACTGAGCTTCAGGCGCGGAAATACGTGGCAGCCAAAAAGGCTAGAAGAGCAGGAAGAGTGTCTGCTGCTGCTGCTGATGCTGCTGCTGCTGCTGCTAAGGTGTTTACAGCAAGGAAGCAACCTGCTGATATGCCGGCTTATGCGTTCCCTGAGAGCATTGGTTCAAGATGGGGAGAGACTGTAAGGCATCGGCAGGAGCAGCAGCAGCCGCCGCAGCAGCAGGGGCAGCAGCAGCAGGGGCAGCAGGGGCAGCAGGAGGGGCGGCAGCAGGGGCAGCAGCAGCAGCAGGGGCAGCAGCAGCACCAACAACAACAGCAGCAACAACAGCCGCAACAACTGCCGCAGCAACAGCCGCAGCAACAGCCGCAACAACAGCAGCAGCAACAACAGCAGCAACAGCAGCAACAGCAGCAACATCAGCAGCAACAACAGCAACAGCAGCAACAGCAGCAGCAGCAACAGCCGCAACAACAGCAGCAACAACAGCAACAACAGCAGCAACAGCCGCAACAACAGCAGCAACAGCAGCAACAACAGCAGCAGCAGCAGCAGCAGCAGCAGCAGCAGCAGCAACAGCAGGGATACAACGGGTCATTACCATTACTATCACCATCAGCGTCGCCATTCCAGCTCCCGTTCCCATTTCTACCGTTCTCGTCACCCTTCGCGCTTCTCCCTTTACCAGCAGCACCGCCACCCACTGTCTCTCCCTTTGCACCTGCTGAGAGGCAGAGGCAACCCTCTGTCTCAAGGCAACCCTCAGACTCAAGGCAACCCTCTGTCTCAAGGCAACCCTCAGACTCAAGGCAACCCTCTGTCTCAAGGCAACCCTCAGACTCAAGGCAACCCTCCGACAACTATTTGCGGAGCCTACGTAACAAAGTCGCTCCGGTTCCTGCTCCCGCCGCCACAGATCCGATTCTTGACACCATGCGAAAATATTCTGACTCGACGCAAGGACATAAGGACTCGACGCATCAGGCAAGGGGATATGGTGCATCAGGCAACAGCATGTTGCGCGTGCCTGGTAACAGGGTTACGTTTGCTGCTGGCGCTACATCCCCCCTGCCTGCTACACCTCCCCTGCCCGCTACAGCCCCCCTGCCTGCCACAACCCCACTTCCTGCTACAAATTTTCACTCGGCGAGTTATGAACCGGTATCAGCCCACAGACAAGGCACAGTAGCAGCAGCGGATGATTTGACTTCTGGGGGTGTCTCACTGCGTGAAAGGGATGGTAGAAGCGAGCAGCGAGATAGGGATGGTAGGAGGGAGCAGCGAGAGCGGAACGAGACAAGATTTCCAAGGAGGGGAGCAGAGGAACTCACAGGAGGTGGAAAGGATTCGAGCGCAGGGGTTTCGGGAGGGAGGCAGGGCGAGAGGCGGGGCAAGATGCGGGGTGAGAGGCGGGCTGAGAGGCGGGGCGAGAGGTTGGGCGAGAGGTTGACTGCAGCGATGGGTGCTGCGGTGAGAAGCGCATGCATTCAGTTTGATGAGCTCACTCGGGAGTTGCTGCATGATGCATACTCGCGGTTTGAGGAGCTTTCTCAGAAACTGGCAGAGGATGCTACAGCTCAGTTTGAGGACATTGCAAGAGGGGTGATGGAAGAGTGTGAAACAAATTGCAGCGATCACAAGAAGCGGAAGAGGAGGTAAATGCTAGAGGATGCTCGCTGAATGAGTGAGATGAAGTCTTTTGGGAGTTGCTAGAGGATGCTCACTCGCGGTTTGAGGGGCTTTCACAGCGAGTGGCGAATGATGCTAGCTTGCAGTTTGAAGAGATTGCGAGAGAGCTAGTGGAGGAGACTGTGGCGGCTTGCCGAGACGGCAAGACGCTCAAGAGGAGGTAAATAGTACTACTGATGAGTTGAATTGAATAGAAGCAAATCGGTGTTACGTAATAGAGTAACGGGAAGTGTTTTGTACTGTACAGCAGAGTCCTCGCTAGTGCCAGAACCCGCCGTTTGCATCAGATATTTGAATTTGTCCTACCGGTACCTTATAAATCAGACTTTTTTTTTTTTAAGGCTACCCTACGTTAAACAAATTCGTGGAAACCACTCTACACTAGTCAGTTCAGCTTCTAACTTATATTCTAACTACGCTACCAAGACTACGAGTCGAGGAAGCACCAACACTTAACTACTCTGTGCCAGAGTCACTGGTGAGGGTCAGGGTTGCACGGACATCTACGCCATCGTCTTCACCAGGGCCTATTTTATCAGTGTAAATCACACTGCTATACTGATGAGAAGGGTGAATTTTAGGGCCTACACTGATGTGTTTGGGTAATTTTTTTGAAACTTAGTGTTACACTGATTTGACAGTGAAAGGATTTAGGCCACACTGATGGTGTGGGGTAAATTTTTTGAAAACGAAGATTACCCTTAAGGGCGTACAGGGCACCCCCCCCCCCCCCCCTTTTCATTCCCGAAATTTTGCACAAGCGTGATTTCCGTCAATCACGCAAGTACCGAAGCGGCCTTCCCCGCAGAATATGCGTTGGCAGCAGTCATCTGTGTAATTGGTCAGTTTGTTATGTTTCGAGATGTTGCCTGCACTTAGTCAAATCCCTGACCACATTCATACTGTCGGTGGCACAGATGCAAGCCGCGTCACCCAACGAAGCGACCTACTGCTGTGCCGTGTTGGTTCAGCAAGCTCAGCAGAGTGGGTCAAGCAGTTTCGCAACACTCGGCCATTCCTCCAGCCAACTCCACAAACCACGGTTTTTTTTTTTGCCACTCTGTCTAGCATCCACACGTTCTCCACCCCGTTGCCATGGCAGCGCCGAGCGACGATGACGCTGACGATGCCGATGGCGACCCCCATTGTAGCCACGGTCCAAGAACGGGCCTTGATTTCTTACGAGGCCCAGTCTCAGAACCTGCACCTCGTCCTTTGCCCGAGCGTTCTGATGAAAGTGAGGGATGGATGTACCCTGTGCGCAAAGCGGCCCAAATATCACCACCGTACCAGCCTCAAGCTGAGGGTGAGGACGGTGGATGGCAGCGTCCGGAACGCGATGAGGCGGAACCCGTCGTGCACGACTTCATCGCCTCGACGGAAATGATATCTAAAGTCCCGGAGTCTTCTAACTCCGTGTCGCTGAAAAAACGCCGGTACACGCAGTCTACTCTTGGTTACGGCGGCGGCTCGCCTCTCGTGAAACCTGCTCCTCCGCCACCTCCTGTTGTGACGCCATCTCCGTCACCGCTGAAGCAGACTCCGGCCGAACGCGCGGAAGCAAAGTTCCTCGAAGCACAGAGGAATTACATCACCAAATGGCTGCCGCAATTTGATTGGTTGTTGCTTGACAAGGGTGATGATGGTCTGCCTTGTTTGCGGTGCAGTGTGTGCAGCGAACACGGTCCCGACAATGCACGATACGGGCAGAATGGCAGCGGCGGACGGGACCTGCAGCCAGCGTCGATGCGGGCACACCAATCGAGCTCCCGCCATCACGACTGCATTGATCGCCAGAAGGGTCTTCTGGACAAGATGGCGGCGCAGAAGAAAATCAACGACTACGAGAGGGCTGACCCCGAGGGTGCGCGAGTGACGAGACTTATGCGCAGCATCCAGTTTGTGTGCGACGAGGACGCTCCGATCGCAATGTTCCCGAGGCTCGTCGACTTCCTCGCGAATGAAGGTGTTTCAGACATTCCTCAGCAGACCTACGGTGTATATATCACGCAGTGAGTGGAATTTAATAATTTGTTGCCGTATTGGTGTATAGCTTCCGGAAGGATTAACACCATCCCTTTTGCGCACCATGCAGATACGGCTTCACGGAGATGGTGAAGGCTATGTGCACGTATCAGCAACAGCAACAGCTTATGTACATCCATGCATCACCGTGGATCGGCATCAGCTGCGACGAGAGCACAGACCGGTCGCGCGGCAAACACCTCGTGGTGTTTGCAACCTTCATGAAGGAGCGAGCAGTGGTGACGGAATTTCTCGCTCTACTCACCATACACAAATGCGACGCGGGTTCCCTCTTCGCGGTTTTGCTGAGCCACCTCGACAACATCGGGATTGATCTGCAGCGGATTGTCGCAGTTAGCACCGACGGCGCGGGGGTGATGATTGGCAGCCAATCCGGGCTTGTTGTTCGTCTCCGTCAGCGCGTCCCACATCTGGTCGGAACTCATTGCATAGCGCACAGGTAGGTTTGTTGTTTCCGTACAATCGCCTCGTATAAATGAGTAACTTCCACGGCCTTAAATTTTTCTAATGTTGTATGCAGAGAAGTGCTCGCGGTTAAAGAAGCCGCGAGCAAGTTTCCGGACCTTGACATCGTCGATGACGCCATCCGTGGGCTTGGCGAAGTCGTCATGCGGTCTTCGGTGTGGCTTGAGCGCTTCAAGGAGCTCCAGCTCGAAATACATCAAACAAATTTGGAGCACCAGGGGCTATTCGACGTGCGTTGGCTATCGCGCGGGGATGCAGTGGCCCGTCTGTGCAGAATTCTAGGGGCGGCGATCGTGGTGTTCATCGAGTACAACCACAGCATGGCGGTAACTGTGCGGACCCTCAAGTTTCACTTCTGCGTCTACTTCTTGGCGGATCTGCTGGCAGAGATAAACGCACTCAACAAATTTTTCCAGCGCAAAAAAGTAAGTGTTGATTCACTGTGCATGTTTTTCTTCTAGTCGTGTCATTTAATTATACACTAACATTTTTACATGTTGTTCATGTGCCCGTCTCTGGTTCAGGTTGACATCACGCTCGTGCACCAAGAGGTGGATCGCACGATTGGAGTCATCAGACTTCGATACGTGGAATACGTGGACATTTTCGGAGGGGGGGTCAGCAAGCTGCTGTCGCCATTCATCGCACGCCTTGGCAGCGGTAGGCGAACTATCCGCGTGGACGGCACGGATGCGGATGGTGAGCCATCTTCACATCAGATCGTGCTGAGCGAGGCACCAATAGCAGGACACCAATACGGCGGCTCGATGGCCGACTGCATCAAGTTGTGCAAAGCGTTCGCATTGGAGGTGGCGACAAACATGCACACTCGAATGTGGAGCTTGAAGCAAATGGATGGCAGCAAGCTTTACAAAGTTGAAACGTGGCCAGAAGCGACAGACAAGCGGGATCGTCGGGTGCTGAGTTGGCTGGATGCCAACGCGCGGCTCTTCAACAACTGGCTGCCAGGTTATTATCCACACGTTTTTTGTTTTGTTTTGTTTTGTTTCGACCTTTCACCTCACAAAATAATGTCCCTCCAACACACGTGGCGTGGCAGGCTTGAACCACCGAGCGGCAGAGCTCGAGCTGGCCAGCTTCTGCCACGTCATGTCTCGCCACTACCAGGACGATGACTTCTACCAGGGACTTAACAAAATGCTGAGGACCAAGGATTGGCCGCGCAGTTTTCCCAACCTGACGTCCATGTGGCAGGCGCTGGCAGTAATTCCGCTAAGTACCGTGGAGTGCGAGCGCGGATTCAGCCGCCAAAACGTGATCAAAAGTTGGTTGCGAACGTCGCTTGGTGACGCCCGGCTATCCGAACTGATGACCCTGAACATGTTGAGCTATGAGTACAAATGGCCCGAGGTGGTGGATATCTGGCGGAAGCAAAAAAAAAGAAGACCCGCAAAAACACCTGCCCCTCACAAGTCGTGCTATGGAAAAGGAAAGGAAAGAGAGGAGTCGTCTGATGGTAGCGAGGATGAGCGTTCATTCATGTGATTGTCTGCTGTATAAGTAGAATATTGTTTCCTGATTTTTATAACGATTAGTAATCTAAATTTGCGATAAGTGTACACAAAAATTCTACACTGATGCTCTGGGGTAATTTTTTTGAAAATCAATGTTACACTTATGTATCAGTGTAACGAAAAATTACACACTGATCATAAGGGTTTTCAAAAATGCTACACTGCTAATCGTGAGTAGCCAAAAACCAAACATAGGCCCTGGTCTTCACTATCACTTTCTGGTACCTTGTCCCTCTTGCGTCGCTTCCTAATGGCAGGGTATGCCTTCTCAGCTGCCTCTGTCTCTGGTGCCACGTCATCTGCTTCTGTTGCCAGCCCCTTGCGCTTGTTGCCCTTAGCCACACCAGTGACTTCCTTTACAGGGCGCCGCTGCCTTGCACCACGCCACAGCTTAACTACATCGTCCCAGTCTGGCTCGTACTACAGGAGAGAGATGCAGATGAGATTAGCAAGCTTGGCGTCGCAGAGGTTGCCACGAAGCCAGGGCTTGATGACGTTCTGGCGACTGAAACCACGCTCGCACTCCACTGTGCTGAGCGGTAACACGGCGACGGCCATCCACAAGCGGACGAGGTTCGGGTACGACGTCTCCCAGTCACCGCTACGCAGCATGCTCTTGAGGCCTCCGTGGAAACTCTGATCCTTGTACTGCGCGTACATCATCCGTGTGAAGCGCGGCAGTTCCCGTTCTGCCTTCTTCCAGCTGACACCTAGCATGCACAATGAAACCAAAGAAGCAGTAAGTGCTCGTGAAATGGTCAACGATGTACACATACACAAGTACAAATCAACAAATCCCGACTTCGGCTGCAATGCATATGCGTACCAAGCAAAGCACAGTAATCGCCGTTGAAGAGCGTGCAAAGGGAGCGGAACCACTCCCCAGTGATGCGATCACGCTTTGCAGCACCGTCTGGATAGGCGTCGGGCAGAAAGAGCTTGGAACCAACCATGGTCGCCAAGCTCTTAAACCAGAACTTGAGGCGGCTAACCACTTCATTCGCAAGCTTGGTGGCAAGCCGCACACACGATTCCAGATCCGGTGGTGACTCCACGCCCGGGATTTCCAGCTCGTGCAACTCGAAGGTGTGAGTGACGGCGTTGCCTTCGCTGTCCAT